TGTCTTTTCCTGTACATTGTGTCATCATTGTTATGTACAAGTCATGTTTGTCATCACTGTTATGTACAGGTCAGCTCAATTGATTTTGTGCTTTTGCCTCATATTAGTTTAAAAATTGTTTTACACATGTGTTTTTCTGGTACTGAGGCTTTGATAACTGTATTTGTACAGCCTTTCACTATTGTGATGTGTTGTCAATGATAAGGTCCAATGTGTATCCTTTCTTGTACATAACAATGATGACATGTTCTGTGCACTGCGTCATTGTTACAAAGCTTGTCATTTATATTACCATTATGAATGGAGTTCATAGTGTACAAAGTCTTTGTTTACTAAACAAATGGAATTTAAAGTCCATAATTTGCCTTGCTGCTTATCTGTTTTTGTCATCACTGTTACTTACAAGAAATACAGTGGTTGACAAACCAATAGACCCATATCTCCATTACCGTACATCTCCTTGCTCTGATACTCTAGGAATATGAGCACTAAATGTCAATCTGTGACTGACAGAAAAGAGAGTCAAATTGGTAAGAAAATTTTTTTTGCACCACTGAGTCTCAAGAGAGTCTCACGTTTTGGCAATTGCTCATATATATATATTCCCGGTTGAGAATAGCCACTTCCCTATATCTAGATCTAAAAGATTACTTAAATTTAAATCAAATCAAATGGTCGTTCAAAAATAATTTTTTAAAATTCTTTCACGTTTGAGTTGCCTTGCCGGTGCTTTTTCGGTAGTTCCCAACCCCCATATTTGAGCCTAGATCTAGATCTAGATTTTCTAGATCTACATCTAGACCTAGGTATACGTTTGATGCGCGGCGAGCCAAGATATCAAGCCTAACAACTGCAAAACATCAAATTATGGTAAAATCAGGGGGGCCCTGAAACCCCCCACCTTATTTCTTTTTAAAGTCCAAGCCCCCCTGAAACCCCCCTACTCTTGGGCGAAGTGGCTAGCCGTACTTACTGAGAGTCTAGCCGTACTTAAGTACGGCTAGACTGCCAGTCTAGCCGTACTTAGATCTAGGTTTGGCCCAATCGACTCAAGCCTGTTAAGTACACAGGTCTCATTAGATCTAGATCTAGATTTTCTAGATCTACAACTAGACCTAGTCAGGCATTTTCCTTCTTTGTCTTGAATGGTGG